GAGAGAGGTGAGAGAGAGAGAGAGAGCGGGAGAGAGAGAGAGAGAGAGAGAGAGAGAGACACACACACTATATTTTCTTGACTGATCTATCTTTTTCATTCTCTGCGTTAGAGTCGCGTCCGACGCTCGCCTAGCACATGAATTCACTTACAAGAAACGCAGGTGAAACGAAAAGGAGGAGTCAGCCCCGAGCGAAATCCAATGATGTATCTAGTTATATGCCCACTTGATTTATGGTTATTGTACCAAAAATGCAAAACAGAAAAAGAAGCCCAAGAACACCCTTGGACCCAAAGCTAAACTCTAGAACCCCAAACCCGGAACCGGAAAGCCCTGGACTCTCCTTGACACTAAACCCTAAAGGCCCTCAACCCTGATCCTCAAACCCCCTTTGACCTTAAACCACAACCTTGGATCCAAAAACTCAAAAAAAAAACACAAATGCTAAACTCCAATCGCCTTAAACCTTGAACCCTAAACTAAACCGGCCCCTGCTCCGAGCCCTCGACAGTCCAATGCCACCTCCCGCTGCCGCGCTGCCGCCTGTCGGTTCAGGAGGCCGCCTCGGTAGCCGCAAAAACTGAAGGCTATGGAGTTTTGTATGGTTACAATCATGATGCTCGCACAAGATGTTCGACGACGGTTTCGTGCTTTTTGGCGGCTGCGGACGTAGAAATAGCCAGGCACTCCCAAAGTCAAAAACTTTTTCTCAAAAAGCAAAGAGAGTGCAGGAGCATACTCACGTAGGTTTCATGGCTTAGGGGGTATAGGTTCAGGGGTCCCGGGACTTTTCGGGGATCGGGGCTCAGCCAGGTTGACGGTTGAGGGTCGAGGGTAGCGGTTGGAGCCACCGGCACAACGACCCCTAAGGCCTGAACCCTAAATCCTCAAGGCCTTGAGCCCTAAAACCTGAAAGCCCTGAACCCCTAAACCCTCAACCTGAACCCTTAAAACAAAGAGGCTTAAGGCCCTACGTCCCTAAAGGCCCTAAAGCGACCTGAGCCTCCCACGAGCTCCCCGAACTTGGCGCTCCTGTCCACAAAAGGCGGGGCTCAGGGTGCTGGGGTTCTTTGCTGTTTACAGAGGCTGGTTTTAGGATTTTGGGTTTTGGTTTTAGGGTTTAGGGTTTTGGGTTTAAGCTCTAGGGTTTTTCCTAAAAGAAGAAAGAAAAAGATCTCAAAAACCTACCGGTCTGGGGATCCAGAGATGTACCTTAAACCCTAAACACCTAAACCTTAACTCTCTGGTTCTTAGTAGGGAATGGGGGAATGGGTCATTGGGACGACTATCATAGGGATCCATTCCCCCATTCCCTACTAAGAACCAGAGAGTTACAGCCTGAACCTGTAACCGGGCGAGGACTTCGAGTTCCTGCCCCGAGGTGGGTGCACGACGCGTGCCCCTTGAACGTGAGTGGTCCAGACAGCTTTACGCCACAAACCCTGAACCCTGTACCCTGAACCCTATATAACCCTAAACCCTGTACCCTAAAGCCTATCCCCCCTAAACCCTAAACTCCTAAACCCTAAGTACCCGAAACCCTGAACCCTAAATAGACCTTCACAGACAGAGCTCTCGTCCAGGAAGTGAACCTCGCATGACATTGTGCCAGTAGGCCTGGTTTTAGAAGCCTAAGCACGATCATTAAGGGCCTTGGCCACCAAACGGGCTTCCCAATACAATAAAGGCAAGGACAGATTCCATCATCCTGCATGACAAGCATAACAGTCCCGGCAAAAAAAATCCTACAACCTCAAGCCGTAAAATCCGTACAAACCCCCAACAGAAACGCTCGCAACCCCTTCTATGAAACCCGGGATCCGGACCCTGAAGCTCTAACCCCCCAAAACCTAAAGGCCCAAGCCCTAAACCCTTGTAAGACCCTCATCATAACCCTTGAAAGCCTCAACCCCCAAAAACCATTTTCGATCAAGCACTGCAAGCCCCATGGCTTTTCTCAGCGCCTTGAACTCCCGCTTCTTCTGCTCCAGCTCTCTTAGCCTCTGCTCCTCAGACGTTCAGGGCTTCGGGCTTAGGGTTTAGGATTTGGGGTTTAGGGCTTTGGGTTTAGGGTTTGGGGTATTGGATTTTCCAAACTTTGAGTTTTAAAGGGCTTTGCTGTGTGCTGTGAGGATTTCGAAAAGACTGTTTACGAGGCTTGACTTTATACTTTAATTCTCTAAAGGTTTACCGGCTCTTGCACGGCTTCATGGCGCCTTTAAGAGCTTTGCAAGGCCTGATGCGGGTTATAAGGCTTTATACTGATTTAAAACGCGTTCGCAGAGTGGCATATTACCTTTTCCTCGCGGCTTCAAAGACGAAGGTGCCGCTGTGCCTCTGCGATTTCCTCTACATGGCAACACAGGGCTTCAGGCTTCAAACCATAATCAAGCTTGCAGTGTCACGTGGTTCATACTCGCTCATACTTCGAAATGAGCTTCGCTCACGACCCCACCACCGTTCAAGGACGGCGGGGCGGCTGCCTTCACTGGCAAGGGGCGCTCCATGGTGTCCCCAGCTCCAAGCTGGCCAAAATTACGAGAGCCCCACGTCCACAGCTCGCCAGAATCTGTCACCACAGCGGTGTGATATGTTCCAGCGGCGACGGCCACGATCTTCTGGCCGTTCACGCTCACCTTGACTGGGGCGTGGCGATCCTTGGTGTCCCCAGTTCCAAGCTGGCTATCACCATTGCCGCCCCAGGTCCACAGCTCGCCAGAGGCCGTGACCGCAGCGGTGTGGCATGTTGCAGTGGCGACGGCCACGATCTTCTGGCCGTTCACGCTCACCTTGACTGGGGCGTGGCGATCCTTGGTGTCCCCAGTTCCAAGCTGGCTATCACCATTGCCGCCCCAGGTCCACAGCTCGCCAGTGTCCGTGATCGCAGCGGTGTGAGCCTCTCCAGCAGCAACGGCCAGAATCTTCTGGCCGTTCACGCTCACCTTCCCTGGAGGATGGCGATAAAAAAGAGTGGCCCGCATTCCAAGCTGCCCAGCGCCATTGGCGCCCCAGGTCCACAATTCGCCTGAGTCCGTGATTGCAGCGGTGTGGCCGTCTCCAGCAGCGACGGTCACGAACTTCTGGTCGTTCACGCATACCTTCACTGGAGCATAGCAATTGTCAGTGTCTCCAACACCAAGCTGGCCAGCATCATCCCTGCCCCAGGTCCACAGCTCGCCAGAGTCGGTGATCGCAGCGGTGTGGTGTGTTCCGGCGGCGACGGCCACGATCTTCTGGCAACCAACTTTAACATGCACAAAGGCATGCTGCCGTTCATTGTCACCAGTGCCCAACTGGCCGTCGTCGTTAAGGCCTGCTGCCCAGATTTGGCCTAAGTTGGAGACAACCACCGTGTGGAAAACCCCTGCCACCAAGGGCACCAGCAAGGCCTCCAGGTCCTGGCCCTTGCAGACGTGTGCAGGTGGACAGGGCAAAGGCTCGGCGCTGCCTTCCGGGCAGTAGTGGCTCGCTGGGCACAGAACCGGCTGACCTTCAGGGGCAGGGAAAAACGACTGCTTGAAGCTTGCTGAGATTCAAGTGGCTCTGGACTAGGTAGCACGATGTGGTATGTCTGGGAGAAGGGACCCAATCCTAAAATGTAGGGTCCTTCTCACAAAGACCCGTACGCAGGGTACCCCATTTCTGAAAAAGCCCTGCCAAGGTTGCTAGTCCCAGCGGCGAGTCTGCTCTGGGCAGTAGTAGCCCTTAGGGCACGATCGGACGTCCTCTGCACTCACCCACAAACTCGAAGCCGCGATCCAAAGCATCCGAAACAGTGCCATGGCAAGGGCAGAGAGCACTGGTTATCAGAAATCACCAGTTGCTTTTTGGGTTGTAGACGGCTGTCGGAGTTTGTCAGGTGCTTTTGTGGGGGGGGATTGTAGAAGGAGTTTCGGCAACGCTTCATGGAAGCCCCCAAAGCCCCTTCATTTGAGCTGTCGTCTAGACTTGCCCATTTTGCAAGTTCCGTGTTCGTCTCAACATGGAGGCTTTGCTCCCCAGGCCTCTAAAAGTCGTCGGGTGGAGGAGTTTTCACCTAGGATGCCTTGGTGTAGGGTAGCCCGGGTAGCCAACTAGGATTCTTCACAAAGCCCTCCCAGTCACTCGACATCGAGAAGTAGGCTCATCTGCATGCGGACAGACAAACTGCGCAATGCGCTCGACAGACGAAAACACGAGCCCAAAACGCCAAAACGCCAAGCCCTCAAACCTGGATCCTGAACCCTGAAAACTCAACCCTGAATCCTTCACCACGCAGCGCAACACGCAGCAGCGGAAGAGCGCTAATGTATGGCAAACGGCAAAGTCCGCGGAAACCCGCCGTTCGTTTCTGAGCTCGACTGCCGCGACCTGCTCAGTCAGAGTTTAGGAGTTCAACAGCTGCGTCAAGAAACCTTGGGAGAAGATCATGAATCGGAGCAAGGATGCTTGGGCCCGACGACCATATGAACCCTAAACCCTAAACCCTAAACTGGGTGGTTTGAGCCCATACGGGTCAAGGTGGTTCAAGCCGTACAGCGGACCTGAACCCTCCGATCCACCCAGCAGTGGACGCAACAGCAACCGAACCTCTTAACCCTGAAACCTTGACGAAGACCCCGAACCTGGAGCCCAGGGCTCGGAGAACCCAGTCGCTGAAGCTTCCCCCTTTTGAGGTCCGTACTCCGAAGCCCAACTCCCCAAAACCCTCATCTTCAGCGTCTACGAAGCCTGAACTCAAACTTTGACCGGCTTCTGGCGAAAGCCTGCCAGGAGCGAAAAACGATGGAGCCGAGGCCGCGAACGGTTCCTCCGAATTTCTGAGTTTGGATGTGGGCCTTGGGGTTGAGGGGTTTCGGTTTAGGGGAGCTTAGGGATTTGGACCTAAGGTTCTCGGGCTTTAGGCCGCGTATGGGCTCTTGTCGGGCTCTGTGGGCCACTAAGGCTACAGGCTACAGGCTTAGGGCCAAGGCTAGCAACCAGGATTTTGGGTTTGGGCTGAGGGTCTGGGGGTTTGGGGTTGGATGTAGGGTTTAGTGCTTCGGGGTTTTGGGTAGGGTCAAGCAAGGTTCATGATAGGATGTAGGATGTTGATTTTCGGCATAGGGCTGAGGATTACCAATGCAGGATGGGATGGGAAGGCTAAGGATGTTCATGGATTGTCGTTTCGGGGCAGCATGCACCCCCAAAACCTGAAACCTGGTGTTGCCGCCTCAAGGCTTGTGTAGGCATTCGGGGTCGCTTGGAGAAATTTGGGCTCGGGACTTCGGGTTCAGGGTTTATGGCTTTCGGGGCTTAGGGGTTCAGGGGTCTAGGGCATGCTCCGAGGTTTAAGGCCTTTTGCACCTCTCCTTTGATCTTACAGATGTGAAGGCGAGCTCAGCTTAGAGGAATGATTGACGCGGCCTTCGACAAAGTGCAGGACGAACTTGTTAGACTTCAGCAGGGCCACATCGCGCCTTGCACCTTAGGCGTCGGCCTCTTAGGTTGTGGGGCTACCAGCTGCGAGGGTTGGGATGCCTTGTAAAGGGCTGTTCAGCATAGTTCTTCAATGGGAATCCCTTGACGAAGGTATCTCAAGCGATCTGTCAAATTGTTGGTCGGGGAGTCGGGGACCTCCAGAGTGGACAACCCATACATGCGATCAGGCGTATAAATCCCTCCTAAGGTAACCCTAACACAAGACCCTTATCTTGAAAGGACACCTGGGTTCGGGCCATAGACTGTCCATCCAGGTCCAGAAAGTAAGGGACCCCGGCTTGGACCCTGAACAATAGCATCTTCCTAGTGATGGCAGGAGGAACCTTAAATTTCGATTCTAGGATCCTCAAACCGTGAACCTTGAACACTAAAATTAAGGAGCCCTTATTCTATTCGACCCCAAAGTGTAAGAAATCCCCACTGGCCGGGGAGGAAGGGATAGGAAACTTGAGCGCTGCGGGGAAAAAAGCACATAAGGCAAGTAAGAAGAACAATTGCCAGCTTTCAGGCTGACTATGAAAGGGCAGAAAAAGCTCAAGCGTCACCGAAGCTATATTTCTATCCTGCCTTGCATTGATACATGGGCTAATGTACTGCATCATAACTGAATCAGGGTCCAACTTTTGAAGGCTACAGAAAGGGAGCTGGCTTTCCGAAACTTCCTTTAACCTTCGCACGGACACGGACGCGATGGGCACTTGAATGAAAAGAAACCCTCATACAGGTCGAACTTGTAAAATAGGACCCTGAAAAATTGGCTCGAGTTTACCGTGTGTTTTATGCTGCGTACATATATATATATATTTATATTTATATTTATTTATTCATTTATTTAATTTTATTTATATTTATTTACTTATTTCTTTATTTGTTTATTCATGTATGTATTTGTTTATGTATTTATTTATGTATTTACTTATTTACATCTATATTTATGTTTATATTTACATTTATATTTATATTTATATTTATGTTTATGTTTATATTTATATTTATGTTTAAACATACACAGACATACATGTGCATACACGTATACATACACCTACACCTGCACCTACAACTACCAATACACCTCCTACACATGCACATACACATACACATACAAACACATGTACACACATATGTACGCACGCAAGCACACACACGAACGTACGTACATACATGTATGCATATATGCAAACATACATCATACATATACGTATGTGTATATATAAAAGTATATTTACAGATATTTACATATACAGGAGCCCGATGGAATAATATCTAGCGATAACATGCTTTACAGGTAAATCGAGTGCTCAATGGACGGCATGGTATCCCAGGGCTATGAGCTGCACGCTATCGGCTTAGTACCTCAGGCGCACACGAACATTGAAATACTCGGAGATTCCAAAACCCCTGTATTCAGGAAATGCCTCAAATCATAATCAGCAACCGTTTTCGAAGTATGCATAGGTTTTGGAATCTCTCCGTAGGGTGCCAATCTAGCCTTCTTCTCGATAGCATCTGGAGCTACATCTAAACATGGACACCCGAAATCTCAAACCCGAACCCCAAACCCCTCAGCCCCCAATCGATTCAGGTGCATACAAAGTAATCTAGGGGCATTGAGAATCAACATTGGGGTTTCGGGGGTTAGAGTATAGTTGAGCATAGCATAGTATCTATAGTCTCGTCTAGCTACAAGATGGAACGCCAGGGAAAGATGTTGGTAATCATTCATCTGAGTTTATTGGACGGCACGAACACAGCCGAGCTGCTGTTGTTGCCTTCTCGCAACATCACATATCAAACAGATGACTCATCTGGCCTCCTGTATACTGACACCTGTAAGCCTGAAAGAACATGTCAGATGACAGATCATAAAGACTGCTATAAGAGTGAAAGAGTGAAAGCCTACTGTCAAAGACAGATGGGCTGAACAGGTACCTGTGAGAGGACACCTGAGAGCTGGACGAAGCACAGCACCACCGTCGCACAGATATCCGACAAACGATATGTCTGGGACGTCAAAACCCCCCCCTCGGACAGAGCCAGAGAGTACCTGGAAGCCCGTCACACACCGGAGGTGATCAGGGCTGGGTGGGAGGGAGAAAGAAAGAGGAAGGCATCCTGCAGGGGGCACTTGAGCCTAGGGCTGCAGGATGCCAGCATCAGACAATGTTCATGATTCAAACAGGCCCTTCCCAACCAACCTACAGTTTGAATGCCAACTAACCGACAACGTATCGATCCTAACAATTCCCCTTGTAGTAGAAGGGGTGCGCCCGTACCATAGAAGTAACCCTTAACATGAACCCTTCATCCCAGAGAGTACTTGGACAAGCTGCTGAGCTTGGCTTGAGCCGCCGCAAGCTTTTTGCGGGCCTGGGATACAAAGACGATACGGCTTTTTGGGTGGTTCAGGGTTGAGGGGTCTTGGGTGTTAGGCTGTAAGAGCTCAGGCCTAACATTGCAACCCGGCACCATGTAGCTCTCAAAAGGCGGTGCATGCCGGGTGCGAACCTGCTCTTGGCCCTCCTTATTTACGGACCCCCTTTAGGGACCTCTTATCCCAAAAAGCGAAGCCCTAAACAAGAGAATCGCTCTTGGACTTCGGATGCAGAGTTCGGAGGATGCCAGTCCGGACCGTGACAGGGTGGCCCTCAAGCCCCCAAAACCCTCCAAAACCTGCCCATCGTGCGTGGACTCTGTGGCTGAAGGCTACAAATTTTACAGTCAAACCCTAGGAAAAGCCCTATGGGGTTTAGGCTTTATGGTTTAGGGTTGGCGTAGCCACCGGGAATTCGATTATCTTGAATGTCTTGAAACTCCCGGCTAGCAATTGTTGTGCTGAACGGTCGGGTCGACCTAAACGCTAAGACTCAGCCCTCAGAACTTCCTCAACCCTCTACCCAAAGCTCCTGAACCTCGCAGGAGCATTGGCGAAGGGATCTCGCATGCATGGGAGAATACACTTAGCATACTTTCTCCTGAGCTCCCCGCAGCCATTGCTTCCTCTTGGCACCGCGTCTGAGCCAGGTGGAGGAG